CACGCATTTTCAAAATTTTCACATTTTTTACAAAAAGACTATAATTCACGCATTTTCAAAATTTTCACAATTTTTTTTTCACAAAAAGACTATAATTCACGATTTTCAAAATTTTCACAATTTTTCACAAAAGACTATAATTCACGATTTTCAAAAATTTTCACAATTTTTCACAAAAGACTATAATTCACGATTTTCAAAAATTTTCACAATTTTTCACAAAAAGACTATAATTCACGATTTTCAAAATTTTCACATTTTTCACAAAAGACTATAATTCCCACATTTTCACAAATTTTCACAATTTTTCAAAAAAAACTATAATTCACGCTTTTCAAAAATTTTTGCCATTTTTCACAAAACGACTATAATTAGCGCATTTTCAAAAATTTTCACATTTTTTTACAAACAGACCATAATTCACGTATTTTCAAAAATTTTCACAATTTTTTACAATTTTTCATAAAAAGACTATAATTCACGCTTTTCACAAATTTTTGCAATTTTTCATAAAAAGACTATAATTCACGCATTTTCACAAATTTTCACAAAAAGACTATAATTCACACATTTTCAAAATTTTTACAATTTTTCACAAAAAGACTATAATTCACGCATTTTCAAAAATTTTCACAATTTTTCACAAAAAGACTATAATTCACGCATTTTCAAAATTTTCACAATTTTCACAAAAGACTATAATTCACATTTTCAAAATTTTCACAATTTTCACAAAAGACTATAATTCACGCATTTTCAAAAATTTTCACAATTTTTCACAAAAGACTATAATTCACACATTTTCAAAAATTTTCACAATTTTTACAAAGACTATAATTCACGATTTTCAAAAATTTCACAATTTTCACAATTTTTCACAAAAGACTATAATTCACGCATTTTCAAAAATTTTCACAATTTTTCAAAAAGACTATAATTCACGATTTTCAAAATTTTCACAATTTTTACAAAAGACTATAATTCACGCATTTTCACAAATTTTTACAATTTTTCAAAAGACTATAATTCACGCATTTTTTTCACAATTTTCACAATTTTTCACAAAAAGACTATAATTCACGCATTTTTAAAAATTTTCAATTTTTTACAATTTTTTACAAAAGACTATAATTCACGCATTTTCACAAATTTTCACAATTTTTCACAAAAAGACTATAATTCACGGATTTTCAAAATTTTCACAATTTCTTACAAAAAGACTATAATTCACGCATTTTCAAAAATTTTCACAATTTTTTACAAAAAGACTATCATTCACGCATTTTCAAAATTTTCACAATTTTTCACAAAAGACTATAATTCACGCATTTTCAAAAGTTTTCACAATTTTTTCACAAAAGACTATAATTCACGCATTTTCAAAATTTTCACAATTTTTCACAAAAGACTATAATTCACGCATTTTCAAAAATTTTCACAATTTTTCACAAAAAGACTATAATTCACGCATTTTCAAAATTTTCACAATTTTTCACAAAAAGACTATAATTCACGCATTTTCAAAAATTTTCACAATTTTTCACAAAAGACTATAATTCACGCATTTTCACAAATTTTCACAATTTTTCACAAAAGACTATAATTCACGCATTTTCAAAATTTTCACAATTTTTCACAAAAGACTATAATTCACGCATTTTCAAAATTTTCACAATTTTTCACAAAAAGACTATAATTCACGCATTTTCAAAAATTTTCACAATTTTTACAAAAAAACTATAATTCACGCATTTTCAAAAATTTTCAGAATTTTTCACAAAAAGACTATAATTCACGCATTTTCAAAAATTATACAATTTTTCACAAACAGACTATAATTCACGCATTTTCAAAAATTTTCACAATTTTTCACAAAAAGACTATAATTCACGCATTTTCAAAAATTTTACAATTTTCACAAAAAGACTATAATTCACGCATTTTCACAAATTTTCACAATTTTACAATTTTTCACAAAAAGACTATAATTCACATTTTCAAAAATTTTCACAATTTTTCACAAAAGACTATAATTCACGCATTTTCAAAATTTTCACAATTTTTCACAAAAGACTATAATTCACGCATTTTCACAAATTTTCACAATTTACAATTTTTCACAAAAGACTATAATTCACATTTTCACAAATTTTCACAATTTTCACAAAGACTATAATTCACGCATTTTCAAAATTTTCACAATTTTTCACAAAGACTATAATTCACGATTTTCAAAATTTTCACAATTTTTACAAAAGACTATAATTCACGCATTTTCAAATTTTCACAATTTTACAATTTTTCACAAAAAGACTATAATTCACGCATTTTCACAAATTTTCACAATTTTACAATTTTCACAAAAGACTATAATTCATTTTCAAAAATTTTCACAATTTTTCACAAAAAGACTATAATTCACGCATTTTCAAAAATTTTCACAATTTTTCACAAAAGACTATAATTCACGCATTTTCACAAATTTTCACAATTTTTTACAATTTTTCACAAAAAGACTATAATTCGCATTTTCACAAATTTTCACAATTTTTTACAAAACGACTATAATTCACGCATTTTCAAAATTTTTCACAATTTTTCACAAAAAGCCAATAATTCACGCATCTTCAAAAATTTTCACAATTTTTGCCAAAAAGACTATATTTCACGCATTTTCAAAAATTTTCACAATTTTTCACAAAAAGACTATAATTCATGCATTTTATAAAATTTTTACAATTTTTCACAAAAAGACCATAATGCACGCATTTTAAAAAATTTTCACAATTTTTCACAAAAAGACTATAATTCACGCATTTTAACAAATTTTCACAATTTTTCCCAAAAAGACTATAACTCACGCATTTTCAAAAGTTTTCACATGTTTTTACAAAAAGACTATAATTCATGCATTTTCACAAATTTTCACAATTTTTCACAAAAAGACTATAATTCACGCATTTTCACAAATTTTCACAATTTTTTACAATTTTTCACAAAAAGACTATAATTCACGCATTTTCAAAATTTTCACAATTTTTTACAAAAAGACTATAATTCACGCATTTTCAAAAATTCTCACAATTTTTTACAAATAGACTATAATTCACGAATTTTCACAAATTGTCACAATTTTTTACAATTTTTCACAAAAAGACTATAATTCGCGCATTTTCACAAATTTTCACATTTTTTTACAAAAAGACTATAATTCACGATTTCAATTTTCACAATTTTTACAATTTTCACAAAAAGACTATAATTCACGATTTTCACAAATTTTCACAATTTTTCACAAAAGACTATAATTCATGCATTTTCAAAATTTTCACAATTTTCACAAAAGACTATAATTCACTTTTTCAAAAATTTCACAATTTTTACAAAAGACTATAATTCACGAATTTTCACAAATTGTCACAATTTTCACAATTTTTCACAAAAGACTATAATTCATGATTTCACAAATTTTCACAATTTTTACAAACGACTATAATTCACGATTTTTGATATCAGCTAGCACTACATGAAAACAAACCTTAAAAAACACTGTCTCTTACTTTGAGGATCGCCATCCTCTTGTTGTTGGGGAATGAATTTCTAATGCCCTTGCTTATATCCATCATCAGCTCCGGTTGCATGCACCACTTTGAAGGGAACTTTCTTGGCCATTAACTACACAAAAACCGAACCTAGAATTTCATATTCATTACGTAATGTTAAATCACCAAGAACACTTATTTTAAGGCTATATGTACAGAGAGAGAACAACATTTATGACATTAATACACATGACCACTGACATTCTAAAGAAAACATTGCTCTGATTACTGAAATATATGCTTCATATTTGTAAGCAATGGCATAATTAATATCTACACAACTGGTAGACAAAATATAGGTTAAAGGAAAAAGATATTTATGGAAAACATACTCAAGAAAATTATAAGAAAGTAGGTGATTTTTACTTTTGTACAATCCTCTTACATTGAGAGCAAATATCACATATTTTTAGTGCTAAAGAAGCTTTATATCAAATTGAGAAGCAGTAAGGCTTCTATAATACTTATTCAAAGTCAACGTTGACACTTGACAACAGTAAAAAATGTAAATATTGAGAAAAATCGACAATTCTAATTTCTACGAAAATGTGCTCACCAGTTCCAGAAAATGATCATTGCAATTTGAAAGCAGGTAATACTTTAATATTCGGACGAGATTGATGTTACATACTTCAAAGTTTCAAAGAAACACAAAATCTTTCGCGCCCAAAATACTAAAGCAATTGAACAGTAAGTTACGTATTTTCATGTGGTGAGCACGAATTAATTATTTTGCATAATCAAAATAATTACTTCACAAATAAGGCAACAGAATGGCATAATCTTTGCTAAGTGCACATCAATGGACTAGACCAGGGTCTCCAAACTACGGCCTGCGGGCCAGATGCGCCCGTTGGGCCTCTCAATCCGACCCGCAGAGGCACTTAAGAAAAAAATAATAATATTATTAAACAAAATAAACTTTGTGCAGAAAGTTCCCGTTATGTCCCAAGCCAACTAGCAAGAGTGGCTTACGTCAATTTTTCTCCGAACTTCCTACTTCCGTTTCAAGCACATTGCGAAATTTAAAAAGCTGAAGGATAACGTGGAAATTTTTTATATTCTTCGGCCCTCAACATGCTGGATGAAAGTTCATGTGGCCCTCTGGCTGTAAGTTTGGAGACCCCTGGACTAGACTATGGTCATATGGTGATTCCACAGAGATTTAGATGTTCGATAGCTCTAGGTTCAATAGTTTTATTGCAGTATAGGTGCTATTATGTAATCCTATGAGTTGTGTCATGTTCTTTTTAATTCCAAAATTACTTGGTTCTTTAGTTAATATTTAATATATGATGTCACACCAGTGCGACTAGAACGTTATATAACCCTATAGTCGCATTTTCGACTTATTTGGTCTTGTATAATAGAGTTAAATAAAAGAGTGTAAGAATTAAAGGTTGAAATGTAAGAGTTACATGGCTGAAATGGATGTGTTTCATCATATTTTGTACTACATGAAGTTCCTTGCTGCTAAGAAAATATGGCGTGTCTTTTGTTTACAACCTACGACCATGCGTAACGATAGAGAATAATGTCCATGATCATGTCTGATAGAAAGAAACGCCACCATTTCGTGCATTATGATTGGCTGGAAAGTCAGGAAGGAAAAGAATTCCTTGGCATTCTCTTAAGACGAAATAAACGAAGAATATTCGGTCAGAGAACCCATCAATAATTTTATCTTACCTTGTCCTTGTATAGAAAATAACCACCTTAATTATACGACATCCTTTTTTCCTTTCTTGATATAACCTTTCCACAGCATTGATACCTATTCCTTTACTCAACTCAAATACCATTCGTCATTTAGTAATTTTAACCAACTGAGAGCGTTTTCATGTTCTACGCAATTCTTAAACTGCAAATAAAATAATTGAAACCTTAAATGAACCAGCAATATTGGTGTTGCAAACAAAAATTACATTACACTTCTTGTCAATTGGTACTCCAATATGGCGGCTATGACGTCAGGTAAAATTATCTACACTGCAAAACATAATTGTTGTCTTTTTACTTGTCATTCAGGAATTTTGGAGAAACCTGCCCTCCCGTCTGGTATAGCTCCTCCGATAGTCCCATACAAACTGTTACTGCTTGGAAAAGCAGCTGTTGGTAAAACAAGTACGGTAGCAAAGCTTGCTGGAAAAGGTAGTTCAAGAAACGTGTGCAATTCTCCACAATAGCATTTCAATGATCTTTTGTCAAAGTTCACAACTAGTAATGTCCTATGATTTGTGGAATGAATTACCTAGAAAGTATATATAATTTGTTTTCCTTCCAGAACTTGCTTCGACGTACGCTGAAACTCCTGGGATCCAAACGACTTTGATATATTGGCCTGCAAAGGTCTGTTTCTTTTGGTCGTTTCTCAGGAATTGATTTGCATAACTTGACCAAAAATTATGCTAGTTGAAATTATGGATGTCAATTTTCATGCAGTTAATATCCTCGTCCGAAGTCGTTCTATTTCAACTTCATTTCTGGGATGTTGGAGATTACGCGATGAAAAAGTTTGAACACATCAAAAAAGTGAGTTCATTGTTTTAACACCATACGCCAAAATAATGCAACTAAGTTTTTGCTTGAAAATTTATTCGGAGTCAGAGTTCGGTGTGGCAATGATGCAACTAGATGCTCTCCCCCTTATCGCTTGATAACTACTGTACTCTCCTATCAATTAATGTCCTCTCGTTGATAGTTATTGTCTTTTCTTTGATTAACTACTGTACTCTCCTATCATTCATTGTCCTCTCGTGGATAATTTTACCCTCTTTGATACCTACTGCTCTTCGTCTTCATAACTTCGGACGTCGTGAAGACCTGATGATTCTTTATTAACCTTGTCTTTAATTTTTCCAGTCTTCACAAATGAAACCGGATGCCGTGATATTCTTCTTCTCTTTATAGACAGGTGACTTTCAGTGAATTTAACTTTGTTTTAATCGATTCATATTATGCTTTTAATAAAACATTATATCGTATGCAAAATCAGAGCCAGTTTCGATGATTTGCCGTTCTTGATCACCAGAACATGCGAAGAACTGGATGAGCTGCCGAAAATAACTATTGGGACTAAATATCCTTTGGAACCTTTTATCACTAAACACCGATCCACTATACTCATATCAATATATCTTTGATTAGGGTCAAGTGCATAGGTGGGGTCTGGGTAAGAGGATTGGAAAACAGTTTGAAAGCAGCATTTCAAACAGCCAACAGCATTAAAATGTATACTTTGTAAGGATAAGTTAGATTATGTTTGTCTTTACTGAATTTTTTGATGAATTATTTCCTTGATGAATAAGCTCAAGTTTGACAAAGTACTCCATAGCGAGGTCACCGAAGAAGAACTTCGTGACTTTCAAGAGCAATGGCAAATTCCCGTTTTGAAAACTTGCAACAAAGACGGACGCAAACTGGCTGACGGGAGCCTAGATGGTCGTGCTGGTTTAATGGTATGTATAGTGAGAGAGACTGGTCACTAATGTTGGAGTTTTGGGGGAATGAAGTTGGTTTAGTAAATACGATATCTTTTGTGATGATCTAAATTTTATTACAACATTTGAGAAACAAATTATTTAAGTAACGATCACAATAAAATGTTCGCTCTCGAACCATTTTACGAATGCAACATTTTATTCAGGAGGTCGCGCCAATTCTCAACAAGATTGTTGATGTTTTGTTGAAAAGACGCGAGGAGAAAGCTCCAATCAACAAAATCACCAAAAACAGCCGATCGGCAATCAAGGTCAAAATAGAAGATCACAAGATGACCATCGTATCGCATACATGATTTGAAATAATTATTCTGTCCTATGCCGTTTTCTTATTTCCAATTCGAATATGGGGCAAATTTACAAGACATGTTTGTTATAATTTATTTATTTAAAAGACAACAAATAAGAAAAGTGACTGTTTTGGGTATCGCAAAATTATATAAATATGGTCTATTTTCAATATTCAATAAATATAAATAAAATACATTTTACTATGTAAAATATTTTTCTCGTACATTCGTCAACACAAGAATAATTGATTAAATGATTTATTATCTTTCTACACATTTCCAAACCAAAAACTGCGTATATAGTTTTAGTTACCATCGATGTAAATGATACTGTGATCAGGAATGGTACTGTGATCATTAATGGTACAGATATCAGGAATGGTACTGTGACTAGCAAAGGTACTGTGACTAGCAATGGTACTGTGATCAGGAATGGTACTGTGATCAGCAATGGTACTGTGATCATTAATGGTACAGATATCAGCCATGGTACTGTGACTAGCAATGGTACTGTGATCAGGAATGGTACTGTGATTAGCAATGGCACCATTAGAAATGATATCGTGATCAGAGACAGTCGTGTTCTGAAGTAGACTGGCATTGACAAAATTGAAGGGAAACATGTTTGTAAACATGCCTTTACACCCACACTGTTTTCTTCGGTCCTTGACAGTTTTGTATATCATACAACTTATGCTCGTTCCTAGTGATATCGTCAAGTGACGTCAGACTATCACGTGACACAATGCTGCATCGCATCTGAACAGATGTTGGATCCCAGTCCAAGCTATACATACTAGTTCTTTCCACGACAGGGTTTGAATCCGAGGTCTGGACTTCGGATGCAGACACAGAAACTTCACGCTTTACAAGTTTTCCTTTGTTTGGACGGTAGTTCGGAAAAGGGGGTAAAACATCATTTTCGTCATACCCCTCCATGGATCCTATGGGATCCCACTCCATACTAAACCTTGTAGACTTAGTCGAGTTGGTCGAGTTAGAACTTAATCTCGACATCATATCGCAGCCTTTCGTTTTAGGTTTCACTCTCCGCATGACAGGGAGTTCCGTGAGAGTGTCACCGCTGACTTCTTGGGAAGATATTGCAGGTACACAAGACTGTGATCTTCCTCTTTCAGGTTTTGCCAACTGTGGGTTATGACGGGCAACTTCTACATCATTCTTTTTTTCAGGGGAGGACGCCCGTCTCTTTAAGCGTTTATGAGATTTCGAAGGAGACAGAACGAAGGATGTCAATCGTTCCTTGTATGTTTGTTTTTAGGTTTTCATGCAAAGATAAAAGGCCAGGTTTTGTTTCATCTTGAGAAAAATCACATTTTTTTTCGCGATCATTAAATTGAGTTTGATGATGATGAATTTTTATTGAAGGCACCGACTGGGAACGTTTGAATTTTTTCACTAAGATCTTGGGCTTTTCTGTCAATGATTTGGATCGCTGACGATTTGGTGAAAGAGCACGGATAAGAATACAAAACGAGCTTAATCGTTTTGATCTAGGCTTACGCTCACTAGAAGTATGTTCAAGAGTTATTTCATGTTCCCAAAAATACAACCGCGGCTACCTGGCTTATCAACTTCTTGAACATTTTCGGACGAGAACGACAATCGATCATGAGCAATATTGTTTGATACATGTTCGATAGATGTCGTTCCACTAGAGACATCATTTACACCAGATGTAGATGTTGACATACATGCATACCTATCACACCAGGTCGAGGCTCTTGACTTACACGTGACTTCCAGCAATTCGCCCTCTCCATGAGAGGACTGAGCCAATGACACCTTTCTTGGTCCAAGACGCATTTTAAGTTTTCTGACGTCTTCATAGTCACATGATTCAATCCAGGATTTTGTCTTACTGCTTTGCGATGTCCAAGTTTCTATATCAAGTAAACTATCCGCCGACATACGTTTCAAGCTCGAGGATTTTTCATCGTTTGAACGATCCTTTCGAGTCGCCGTCAAGGTGGCTACAGTCTCCGAAGGTTTCAAAGAGTCCAACGAGAACTTTACGAGAGATGTTCGTTTTAAAGTACATTTTTCACAGGTGCAATCCATGTCTTTTGTGGATAATGTATCGCTTGGGTGCACATAAAGTGGAGAATATCTAAAAAATATCAACGAGTGGAAAAAGCTTAAACAACCAAGAAGAATGGTAACGATTTCCGTGTTAGGTTCTTGATCAGTCATTTGGGTGATTGCAACAACACCGTGGAACACCAAGCATAGAAAACGTCACAAAGCCTGCAAGAATCAGAGAGATATCGCTTCGAATGTCGATAAACATGTCGTTGAACGAGATGTGGCAATCCTACGCCATAAAAGAACGCAAATTTGCAGGAGGATTACGAAAGAGAAAACCAACTCCAGTAGACCACACGCTATGTACATTGACGTGGCAAATACCATATCATAGTTTGCAATGCAAAAGTTCTGCCAAGATGTAATCCGCGTCCAAGGTGGAATAATTAATAAAAAGAAAGGACCCACGTCTCGCACATGTATAGGACAGAGCGACGAAACGAAAGTCAG